AATGGCCCACTGAAGGCGCCCCGCTGTTGAGCAAACCAATTGCTCTATATCTTTATGGCCATAATCTCTACCATGCAGAGGTTTAGCAATTTAATTTTGAACGGTTATCATTGATCACCTAGTGTGACCCCATTTGTCAATAGAATTAAAGAGACTCATTATCAAAATCGAACGATCACTCAAAGCACTCAAGAAGAAAGCCTCCGTCAAATCCAGTGCTTGAAAAAAAATAAGTTGGTGACTATGAATGCATAAAGGATTTACATTTACAGTGGGGTCCAAAAGTCTGAGACCATGTAGAGATTATTATTTACATTAACGTTTAAAGGTTTGGGATGAGTAATATTTATTTATTTCATTAGTCAGCAGGAATGCATTCAATGTATTGAAAGTGACAGCAACAACAGTCATACGTAATGTTACATTTAAAAAACAAATAATAATAATATAAATGATGTTCTTTTGAACTTTATATCCAAAGAATACTGAAATAAATGCATCATGGTTTCCACAAAAAAATTAAGCAACACAACAGGCTTAACATTAATTATAACAAGAAATGCTGAACACAATCTTGAGCACCACATCAGCAAAATAGAATGAAGAAAGGTAACTGAAAATTTAGCATTGCCATTACAGAAATAATTTACTTTTTAAAATACATCAAAATAGAAAAGTGTTCTTTTAAAAATATCATTTAGGATTTTGAATCATTAAAAGAGCAGCAATGTAAAACAAATACAGTATGAACAATCTAAAACAAATATGAAATATTTCTAGGCCATTAATAATAATTAAAAAAAAAACAGATGTTTGTGTTTAGATTGAAGCGCAAGTTGCTCTTTGGATCATTCATAAAATTATGCTGGATAGAATGAAGAAAGGTAACTGAAAATTTAGCATTGCCATTACAGAAATAATTTACTTTTTAAAATACATCAAAATAGAAAAGTGTTCTTTTAAAAATATCATTTAGGATTTTGAATCATTAAAAGAGCAGCAATGTAAAACAAATACAGTATGAACAATCTAAAACAAATATGAAATATTTCTAGGCCATTAATAATAATTAAAAAAAAACAGATGTTTGTGTTTAGATTGAAGCGCAAGTTGCTCTTTGGAACATTCATAAAATTATGCTGGATAACATGATCATCAGGTTTTACACAAACTGGTAAAGTCCACACAGCTTGAGTGCAAAAGGCTGAGCAAAGTAAATATTAAAACATTCTGAGCTTCAACCCAAGCTAACTTTTAACTCAAATTGTTAAGCTGATATAATTTTGTATCAAACTGATTTTTCCTTGTCGTCGCACACTTTTGGACCCCAACGTCCATGCATTTGCATTAAAAGAGAGGGTGAATGCATGTATGATGTGAAGTCTGGCTTTTCTTCAACTAAAGTGACAAATGCCTCCCATAGACTTAATCATTGGGCAGGCATAGAGAGCTCCCTCTAATGTGATCGAGCAGAGTCTTTTAATATCAGGCCTGATGGGTGCTGTTCAGCCCACTGGCCTGCATACTGAGCAGCAACGAATTGCCTGCTGAACATTTCAAGTGATTCATCAACACCTCCAATCTATCGGCCGCACAGGGCTTCACATACGCTCACTGGCAGATAGCATTATAACTCTGCCTCTTTCCCTCAAAAACAGACGGAAAACCCCTTTGACGAATGATGCAAACATGGCAATCGGGTGAGAAGTAATACACAACCAAACATGGAAATGCATTTGTTGCAGATGAATTGAAAGGGAGGGCGAGGGAGAGAAAGTACGGAGGAATGATTCATCCCTCTTATCTGCGGAGTGCCATGCAGGATGGGTAATGTCCCAGGCGGTGAGTGTTTAATTGTTTCTGATGATAAATATAATTGCAGAGAACTTCTGGATGTTTAATTGCAGAGGCCCAGTAACTGTGGGTGACATCACTTTGACTGGGTCTTCCTCATTAAAGCTTGGGTTTGTGAAAGGGCCTTAACTTTAGCATTCCAGCAATGCAGAAAAGTGCCTGGTGAGATGGGAAATGATCGCTACTGTACCACACATTACTGAAACATTTTGTTAATTTCAGTTAATTGTACTCTGATATTGCCTTTATTCTATCATTTCCTCACCCTTCTGTGGTTCCAAACCATATGTTTTTTTTCCATAGTGCACAAAAAAATCTAGTGTTCATTCTTCCATTCAGTTGAATTCAATGAATGGGTACTGGAGCTGTCAAACTCCATACCTTAAATGATATCTTTATGTGAGAAACAGACCAAAATGTAAGTTATTATTTACTGAAAACCACACATTTACTGAAAAAGAGCATTTAAGATAAAAGTAACATGAGAGATGTTTTGTCTGCTCCAGTGCTTGTCTAATAAATTCATTTATAAATATCAATATTGCGTCTTTGACTTATTTGGTAACTGCATTGTGTTCCACTGATTGTTTGTTTTTTACGTGTCGTATACTCGTTACTATAGGTACTGTTGCAAAAGGTATTAAAAACCCCCAGCAAACATGAACTACAAATTAAAGATACTGGCATACTGGCAAACCTGATGGTATATTGCTCAGAAAATGTGTCTCTTTGCTCTTCCTGTATTATATTGTAATTACCCGAATAAGTACGTGCGTATATTTTCCTCACGGCTGCCTTGAAAACGCATTTCCTTTTTAATATGGCTTGTGAAGTTAAAAGTCATTTGAACTACTTTGCGTAAAATTTCCTGCATTCTACTCCATTCAGTTGTACTCCATCCAGCTGTCTAAAAGGAAGAAGGTGTCTCTCCAGGGTGAGCCCGTGCTGTGTTATGGCTTCTCCAGAGTACTGAGTAGCGAATGCTGTTGTTGTCCTGGTGTGAAAGTTATCTAGTACAGCTTCAATTTCTGTCAGATGAATCCTAACACAGGTAGCCTCCCGTTGTAAATCACACCTCAGTGCATCACATAACCAAAGTTGTTGAATTTTTATGTTTTCATGATCGATCATTAGTGACACTACCTGGTACTCTACTACTGGTGCTTTGCTCTATCTCTGAATCTACTTGTAACACAATATGATAGACATACACACACACACACACACACACACACATGCACACTTTATAGTGCTTTTGATTCTTTCAGCTTTAGACCACATTTATTATAGTTGCATGGAAAAACACCCATCACATTTCTTAGAATTTTCTCTTTCTGTTTTCCACAGAAGAGTGAAAGTCATATGTGTTTGGAGCGATATAATGGTGAGTAAATGATGACAGAATTTTCATTTTTGTGTGAACTATCCCCTTAACTACAAACTGCTGGCCAGCCAGAGGCACAGTTCACACGAGCGTGTGCCAAGAATCCTAGAGAATACGAGACTTCTGAAATGAGAGGCCTTTGAGGAATCCATTTACTGGGTGGCTGCTGGGTTCATAATCAGAGTGAAGTCAAAGCCAAAACAGCTCTATCACTACAGACGGAACAGTGTAAAATATAATCAGCGTCATAATTTACTCATAAAGACAATACTCTAAAATCATGCACATAGTATATATACTTGTGAGAACCATGCATTCAAAGTAAAAAAAAGCAAAATGAAATGATTTTTTTTTCCTGAAATATTTTTTTTCTCTCTACCATGGCTGTGAGGGATGTTCTCCAGGTACGGCTCAGCCTTTCCGCATGGCTGTGTGGTGTTTGAGCGAGGCAGCATCAGTGCACCATTGATTTAATTAGGTCTCCATCTCCTCTGCCTGACAGAAGTTGATTAGAGGTGCCAGATGCCCCATGTGTAATTCCACTGCCAGCTGCCACATAGCTTTGCCAATACTCTATGATTAGTACCCACTGGCAACTGGGCAAAGCACAGGTGCCAACTGGAGCCAGGAAAGAAAGACACATGCAGGCTGACATCCCACTGCAGTAGCTAGGACAGGGGGACAAGAGGAAGAGAGATGGCCCAAAATGCTTCAAACTGAGAAGAATGGTGGGGCCAACCTGAGGGCTGGGCGCCATTTTAATGTGTGTAGAGACCGACAGCTCTGCATTTGGTCTCTTGTCATTAACAGCATTGAGTTTCAAACTGAGTTTGAGTGCTGTGTGCATTAAAATGACACATTTAATCAAAAGCTTTCTTGATGGTTATTAAGCTTGAATCTTTAGTAAAAGGGGCACATCTAGAAGTGCAGCCATAAAATGGGGTGACCATCTGCCCTCTGTTTTGGAGGGTGTGTGGCTGAATGTGTGTTTGTATGGTTGTGTGCGAACGTCTAAATCCCTCCCTCCACTCCTCCCCATGTGCTCGCTGAATAGGCCATGAAAAGAAGCCAAGTCCAGCACCATAAACCCAACGAGCATACTCATTCACACCCACGAATGCACAGGCATATACATAGACACCTACTGAGCCAACAATACCCACAGCTGTGCACTGTTTAAACCTATTGATGAGACAGGCCTTTAACATTGCTCCCTTCAGCGTTTTAACACTCTTCAGAAAAGCTGTGCTTGTACTTTGACTGCAAACTCTAAATTTAAACTAAAAAAGCTGCAAGATCAGCGAACAAACTCTTCACCTCTTCCTCCACTGATTTCATGTTGTTTTACCATTAGATTCCATCATACACTTCCATCATGTGTTTCCCTTACTTCTGGAACTCCAAAGTTAATTACTTCTAGTTGGCTGAACTCCCAATATGTAGAGTGTACTGTAAACTCATTTTGAAGCCAGCAGATATCACAAGTGACCTCTTTTTCCTCTATAAGATAAGTCCTACATTTCCCTTATCTGTGCAGGCTGCAGGATCTTCCTGGAGTTCGAGGCACAGTCGTTCGTATTAAGCTGTGTGCTCAGGAAATAGGTAGGATTCCTCTACGGTGTAGGTTTCTCACTACAGGAAACACTGGGTGACTTACTCAACCCAGAACGACGAGAAATCAAGAACACTTGACAAGGAATAAGACATGATTGTTGTACGTAGCTGGCTGAGTATAGCTAAGGGTGCTTAATGTTATTCTTACCTGTGTAGATAAATCTGCCCGGTGTACCTTTGCAGAACTGCTTTGACTTGTAAGACAGAGTGACCTCCACAACCCCGGGAATGTGTCTGGGAGGAGTCTGAACTCGGATGGCGTGAGGGGTAATGAGCTGAAAGAGAAAATAAGAAGTGTTTTTTTTTTTTGGCTTTTTTTTCGTTGACAAAATAAAGCAGATTACATAGGTTGAAATAAGGCAACAAAATATTAAAATAAACACAATACAATGTGTATGACCTTTCATTTCCAGTATTCCAAAGGAACCCAAACTGATCACAACATCAATTTTTAACATCTCTTTCATGATTCATTATTTGGTTATTTACTTCCAAAAGATAAGACATTTTTACTCAATTATTATTATTTGAAATATACTGTATTTTCTTTCAATTATTCATAATTAAGTTTTGTTTTAAATATTATAATTGGTCACCTTCACACATGCAACATAATTATGTCATTTGACAACAATATAGGCCTACTTCTATTGTTGCTCTAAATGTTTAATGCTATTAAAAAAAACAGTAGGCAGCATACACTGTGGAGTATACATTACATATTAAGCAAAAGGTACAAAGCTGTCACTGGGGCTGTAACCATAATGTACAAAAGCTAGAAGGTACATATTTGTATCTTATTTACACCTAAATGAAACATATTAGTACGTAAAGTGTACATACTATTAGTACCTTTTGAAAGGGTACCGCACAAGTGATAGCTTTCGTACCTTTTTTCTGAGAATGCATTCTATTCTGAACATATCCTAGAGTATATTTTGAGATGTTGAGAGCATCAGTGTTTCAGTTATTCTTCCTTTTATTTTGTCCCTCATTTAAGTATAAGAAAAATATCAATGACATGCTACATAAAGTTATGAGAAGTCACTGGTCAGTACTGGAATCAGAGATGACCTTTTCTGTTAGTTGCATATGGTGACACAAATCTCGCCATGCAGCCAATTAGAATAAAGCTTTTGTTTGTTGTGGATGCAGACAATCCAAGTCATTTCATAATCAAAATTCTGTCCACCTTTTTTTGCATCTGAATTGTCTGACTCTTGTACTGTAGAACTAGTTCACACAAATTAAAAACATGCATTTAAGCTACCCATGTCTAGCTGAGCTATTAAACAGTAGTGTATTGTTCTCTGATTAGACTATGATTTCACTGCTTATAGTGTTTGTGAAACTGTGCTCAATCGCTTTTGAAGAGGATCCGTGCAACTACAAAGCAGCTGCGAGTGCTCAGTTTCTCTGAAAATGCTCTGTCATATTCAAAGCCAGCAGCACTGGTGCTGCTTTACATGGCTTTAAACTGTCCCTTTCATTGCTCACTTAGTTGGGCTTTCATATGCCAGGCACGGCTCTTCTCACCTCTCAGATAAATATGGCATTGTCAATGAGAAGCTTTTTATAGAATTACCTCTTTCATCTAGCTCTTCCCAACATGAGCAGTGCAGAAACTGAGTGAGTAAAAGACCAAAACAGATGGACAGACAGGAAAACAGCATTACGCCCATTCAAACTGGCATGTGTCTTTGCATATTTGTAAGCCAAGTGGATTTTGAATGCATCTTCCATATCAGGCATATTTGTTAATTAGGTTGCTTAACTATTTTAGTTAAAAAGGTGCATTAATTGCTTTTTCTTTGTATTCAAATTCAGTTTGATCCTAGTTGTCATTCCCAAATCTCTGTTGTTGTTGATTTTTGGCGGAAGCATGGCATGGATTTATTTTTGGAAGAAGTTTGCATAGAAAGGTAACTGACCTCACTCCAGACCAGCATGGTGCCAAAGATGACCTGTAGGCCATCAAAGAAGTTATCACCAATGATGATGACTGTGGCACCCCCTGTCGTCCAGCCTTCACTGGGACTGATGGCCTTAATGCAAGGGGTAGCTGTTTTAGAGAAAGAGGAAGAGGGGAAAAAAACGAGTAAGCCAGTGGCTGTTGTATACAATAAACAGCTAGTTTATCTCGAAAAGGCATATGCAATATACATTAATGATGTCTATATGTATTTGCCTGTACACATCAAGACACCTGTAAAGAGATAATACATAAATAATGTCAAGAAGCATCAGAATAAACATCTGGAAGCAGCCAGCAAATCATCACTCGTGTGCATTACCTGTGACATAATTTCATGCACAGACTAAATACTTAGGAAATAAATCTAAACCTGTGCAACTGATTTCTTCCTGATTACGGCAAATAGATTTATGAGCCACACTCTATTAGGAAGCTTTAGGCACAGCTTAATGACAAGTGACTGACTCATTAGAGTCGTCACATATGATTAGACTGTGGCCATTCCTCTGCGCCATCCCCATGTGCTTCCTGACAGCGGCGCGAGCATGAGAGATGACGCCCGCTCACTGATCATTTATCTCAATTTACCCTGTATAGTAGCATGATTCACTGCTGTGGTTGCCTGGAAATCACCTGCATCCTCACCTTGATCATCTCTAGCTGTGTTTTGGGAACATTAGATTGTAGCCATCACCACATGAAGGAACACGACTCGAAATCAGAGAGTGGAGTGGAGTGACAGCAATGTCTCCTCCCCGCTCAGTGTTCTGTAATGAATCTGCTCCAGCTTCACTCTTATTCTCACTGGTGACAGAAACCCCACTCCAACTCCACTCCATAGTTTAAATCTGCATTGTTACAGCACAACTGTCAAGTTTCTCTTTACCCTCTTCTCTCTTTACCATTGGTTATCGATTTAAGAGATAATATACATTTATTTAATAAATTTAATAAAATAATTTAATAATTTAACAATTTGATATAAGTATATATGTGTGACCCTGGACCACAAAACCAGTCTTAAGTCGCTGGGGTATATTTTTAGAAATAGCCATAAAAACATTGTATGGGTCAAAATTATCGATTTTTCTTTTATGCCAAAAATCATTAAGCTATTAAGGAAATATCATGTTCCATGAAGATATTTTGTAAATTTCCTACCGTAAATATATCAAAACTTAATTTTTGATTAGTAATAGGCATTGCTAAGAACTTCATTTGGATAACTTTAAAGTCGATTTTCTCAGTATTTAGATTTTTTTGCACCCTCAGATTCCAGATTTTCAAACAATTGTATCTCGGCCAAATATTGTCCTATCCTAACAAACCATATATCAATGGAAAACTTATTTATTCAGCTTTCAGATTATGTATAAATCTTGATGTAAAAAAAAAATTGACCCTTATGAATGGTTTTGTGGTCCAGGGTCACACACACACACACACACACACATATATATATATATATATTATATGTAAAGAGTTCAGATACAAAAGCCATCTGAAATTTTCATCTAAAATTAGGTTATTTTCGTTGCCATTAAAGTGAAATAACCACTTAAAAATTAATTTAAAATTAATTAAAAATGCAAATTTTA